CGCGCGCAACCCTCTGCGGAGATCGTGCGCGTCGAGTGCGCGAAATGCAGGCGAGAGTGCGATTTGCCGGCTGCGCGCGCAACCCTCTGCGGAGATCGTGCGCGTCGAGTCCGCGAAATGCAGGCGAGAGTGCGATTTGCCGGCTGCCCGCGCAACCCTCTGCGGAGATCGTGCGTGTCGAGTGCGCGAAATGAAGGCGAGAGTGCGATTTGCCGGCTGCCTGCGCAACCCTCTGCGGAGATCATGCGTGTCGAGTGCGCGAAATGCAGGCGAGAGTGCGATTTGCCGGCTGCCTGCGCAACCCTCTGCGGAGATCGTGCGTGTCGAGTGCTCGAAATGCAGGCGAGAGGGCGATTTGGCGGCTGCCCGCGCAACCCTCTGCGTAGATCCTGCGTTTCGAGCGCGCGAAATGCACGCGAGAGTGCGATTTGCCGGCTGCCCGTGCAACCCTCTGCATGCGGAGATCGTGCGTGTCGAGTGCGCGAAATGCAGGCGAGAGTGCGATTTGCCGGCTGCCCGCGCAACCCTCTGCGGAGATCGTGCGTGTCGAGGGCGCGAAATGCAGACGAGAGTGCGATTTGGTACGCAACTCTAGTACGCAGAGTAGCTGGGGAGCTGGAAGCGGAGAACTGGCGACGTGGTAGTGCGAGAGTAGTGCGCGGAGTAGCTGGGGAGCGGGAAGATGAGAACTGGCGAGTGGGTAGTACAACTTGAGGGCGTGGAGTATCTGGGGAGCTGGAAGATGAGCACTGGCGACTTTGTAGTACAACTGTAGTACGCGGAGCTGCTGGGGAGCTGGAAGCTGAGAACTGGTACAACTTTAGTACGCGGAGCAATCTGTGGAGCTGGAAGCTGAGAGCTGGCGACTGCGTAGTACAACTTTAGTACGCGGAGTAGCTGTGGAGCTGGAAGATGAGAAGTGGCGACGTGGTAATACAACTTTAGTACGCAGAGTAGCTGGGGAGTGGGAAGATGAGAACTGATGAGTGGGTAGTAGCTGAGAACTCGCGACTTTGTAGTTATACAACTTTAGTACGAGGAGTAGCTGGGGAGCTGGAAGATGAGAGCTGGCGACTTGGTAGTACAAATTTAGTACGCAGAGCAGCCGGGGAGTGGGAAGAGGAGAACTGGCGACTTGGCAGTGCAACTTTAGTACGCAGAGTAGCTGGGGAGTGGGAAGATGAGAACTGGTGAGTGGGTAGTAGCTGCTACTTCGTTCATCTCCTCTGACAGGTCACTGCTTCGGGGCACTTCTGGCGCACCTGCCTCGGCACTTTTGTGTCCTCATTCCGGTTCGTTTTTTTCCGTGAGCTTTTCCTGGCGCTGTGCACGCTGCTTCTCCCCTTACCAGCAGCCCAAATGCTCACGACCATGAGCTGGGCTGTCACCGCTTGGCCGCCGGTGGGGGGTTTGGGAGGCCGCATCACACACAGACACCCACACACTCCCTCAACTTACACGAACACACACATACGCAGACTCATTTCCACACGGACATAGACACACGCACAGAAACCCACACACTACCTCAACTCACTCGACTTCACACTTCTCACTGCACACTTACCGGATAACTCGCACTCTGACTTCCTACGTGATGAAAAATGCTTTCGGGCCACTCGTCGTCTAGTTTTCCATAGTAAGTTGGAATGCTGGGTCCCAGGTTATTTAAGTCAAGAGCCATCAACAGTTAGAATGCTAGGTCCGGAGTGTGAATTTCGACAAAACTTGATACTGCAGGTAAACACCAGGATTTCTTGGAAGATAGAATGCAGCCAAAGATAACAATAGAAAAGGGCACACTTTGAACTTTGAATGCCACAGTTTTTACAGAATAGACAAACAAAAGGAAAGGACAAGGAAGAAAAAGGAACAGGAAACAAATGGTAAAGAACAAGACATGGAAGCAGAAAGGAAAAGACAGAAGAGGAAACAGAAGAGAAAAGGGAAACGAACAGGACACAGAAAAGGATAAAGGTACAAGGAATAGGAAAGGACAATAACATGAGACGGGAAACAGAAAAAGGCAAAAAGAGAGGACAAGGAAGAGGAACACGGAAAAGGAAACAATGGCTAAGACCGGGACATGGCAGCATACTCACACACACAAACAAACACAAGTAGGTTGACTGCATGCAAACTGAATCACACAAGTAGGTGCAAATCTTTGTAGAAAAACAACAACAAACATGACTGCAGACTTGAAAGCTTAAACAGCCTTGTACCTCTACGAGTGGTCTGTCGTTACAGCATTCACACATCCCACGATATCACCCAGCTTCGTTGGTCAAGGTTGGTGATATTGCGCCTTGACCCCCTGCATTGTTACACCAACAGGTGACCTTTGATTCTAAAGTATCCACATACACACACCTTCCAGCACCACCCATTTCGGGTGGTTATTGGGTGGACAGTGCATTGGATGCAAAGCACAGGAGGTTCTATCAACCACCGTCTCCATTTAAAAAAACCTCTCATGGTGACCGCTCGCGTTTGACCTGTCAGCGATAAAACATGGCCCTTCTTTGTGCGACATGGCCCTTGCAGCGGCACAGGATCTCAATCGAGACCTCTATGAGGCGTTTGGAAGAAAGACGGCCGGATCGTCGGTGTATGTGATCTCGGGTCCGCGCTTGCGGGGAAAGGATGGGAAAGGGAGAAACAGCCAACGCCTTCGAAGATCATTTTCTGAAGACACACCAGGTGGTGCCATCTCCGGAATATCTCAGACTGGCCTTTGGTTCGATCGTGCCCTTATTGAAATAAAATTGGGTCCAGAGTCTTTCGTCTTTCGTGCCTTTTGAGGCTTGGTGTTTCACCCCGCCTGCGAGCATGTTCCACCGGGCGGGGTCATGGGCGGTCCACGGGTCCAAGAGGACTCCTGGGTCTTGGGGGTCGAAGAGGGCATACACCTTTCAAGGACAAACTCTCCCAGCACCTGACCCTTTTGCCATCTTCATTTATAGACTACCATAGGACATCTGCAGAACTCCATGATACTCCATGTTTTGGACCTCCTGGAGAGGTCCAGGTTTCGGTCTGTTCATGAACTCGTTTCCTGCACCTTTCGGACATGGGTCCTCGGGGCGAGCGAGTCGTGTCGGAAGAGGAGGAGCGGCGTGTGCAAGCCTTCGACCCGTAAACTAGGGCCTCGAGGTGCTTGCGTAGCATCTGGTAGTACCCATTTTCTGAGGTACGAACTCTCACGGGGTCGACTCCAGGTTCCGTCAAGGTTCCCCAAGGACCGCAAGGACAGCAGACCCGGTACGACCGGTCGGGCCGTCCCCACTGGCCAGGGCAACGTGCGTTGTTTGCGGCAGATCAGCAACGAGAGCGCCGCCTCCCGGGCCTCCCGGGGCTCGCGGCTGTCGGTGGGAAGTCGTCCCAGCCAGAATAGCCGCAGGAGCGACTCGCAACTCGGATGAAAGCGACGGAAAGCGAGGTGATGTTTTTCCTGAAAGTGAGATGGGTGATGTGAGTTCCAGGGGCACCACCCTTGGTGCAAAACCACGGTTTTCCTTTTGAAACGGTTTTGAGGGCTCATGGTCGTGATGTTTGTCCGGTGCACGGCAAATGCAAGAGGTTTTTTTGGGAGTGCTTTGGAGAGGGATGTAGAGAGGTGATTTATTTGAGGTATGAGTGATGCAAACCTTTTGTGAGCCACCCGAGGGTAGAATTTAGAGGAGGAAGCTGCCAATCCAACGATGCATACCTTTTGTGACCCAGCCGAGGGTGAAATTTAGATGAGGCTGGTGCCATTCCCACGGTGCATACCTTTTTCCATGATAGTGAAAACCCAAAAACAATGAATGTAAGTAGCAAAGGCTGTGGACGCAAGTGATCAATGAAAAGTCGAATGACATGATGTAACTTGATTATCTTTTCTGGTCAACGTTGATTTCCATGGGCGCAAGTGACCCATTCAGAGCCCAAAATACTGGCAGGATCAGTGATGGTATTTAGCCTACAGAATGGTGGCCAGCATTCTGTAGGCAGCAAGAGGGTTGGGTGTACTTATTTAGTAGGGAAAAGAGAATGCACGATTTGTGGGTTGGGTGTACTTATTTGGTAGGGGAGGTCCTTCATTTTGTAGGGAATCATAATGGATGGATATGGGTGGTCAAAATAGAAATTCGAAATTAACTAGCTACTTTGGTTAACTTTTTCTCCTCTCCCCCTGTCTCTTCCCTGTCTCTCCCTGTGTCTCTTCCCTTAACGAGTCCCACCGAATCAGATTGCTTTCGGGACACACTCCGTCGATGAATCCGAAAGAAGGTGATGCCGGTTTCGATGCCGTTCGCTCCGCCGCTTTCGGGTCACCTCTTCGGACACCCCATGACTCCCCTCACCTGTTCGGACGTTCGGACTCGGTGGGCCTCCCACCGTTAAGGGAAGAGACAGGGGGAGAGGAGAAACAGTGTAAAAAGTAGCTAGTTAATTTCTAATTTTTGGCTATTTTCCTGGTCAAATTCCTTTAGTTCCTATCCTCCCTTGATGTTTCAAGAGTTTTGAGGCCATTTCTTGAAATTTATGTGTTTTTTTTTTAATGATGAAAATTCCATAATGTCTAGACAGTTTCCTGGTCAAATTCACTACCGAATGAGTAGGCCCTCCAGACCGCGCCCCATTTTGTAGCAATCAGTGACCTTGGCCCCCTCCATTTTGCATAATTGGCCTATCCCCTCCCTACAAAATGAGTCCATTTTTTTTTGGAGTCATTTTGTAGGGATGGGACGTTGGTCGCTGACATTTTGTAGTGATTTTTACTACCAAATAGGGACCCCGACCCCTCACCCTAAATATCAACGGAGATCTGGCAGGGCCACACAAACTACCCGCGAGCCGGAAAACCCGGCTGTAGAACACAATACCTGATGGTAGAAAAGGTGCTTGTCACACGGGTGATTTGAAGAGTGAATGACTAGGTTTGTGGCTGACTTGTCAGATCCCACGACTTGATTCCTTCCATGATAGTGA